GCAGCCTCGACCTGCTGGGCTTCAGCGATCCTTCCACCTCAGCCTTCCGAGTAGCCAGAATTACAGGCACGCGCTACCACACCCGGCTAGTTTTTTTTTTATTTATTGTAGAGATGAGGTCTCACCTGCCCAGGCGGGTCTCGAACCCGCGGGCTCAGGCAATCCACTCACCTCAGCCTCCCAAAGGCTCAGGATTACAGGCTGAGCCACCGAACCCGGCTCGTTATTAACTTTTGATTATCTAGCTATAAAGATCTGGTTTCTATTGGAATTTTAGCTGACTGTGCTACAGCCACCATGCCACTCTGCAAGCAGAGATCACCCTAGAGTAGAGCTCTGAGGGGAAAGAAATGGGAAATTTACTCCCTTGCAGTTTCTTCTCTAAATTTGGACTGTCTTTCACACTAGTTTTTGTTGTTGTTTTTTTATGACTGTATAATGTCTACATGTGCTTTTTTTTTTTTTTTTTTAAAGTTTAAGTTTTCCATTTGTAACTAACAAGACCAGTGGGCTGTATTGGGCAATGGTGTATGATATTCTAGCGCAATTGGTACTTCCTTTTACTTTTTATTACAGATATGGTTAGATCTTAAAGTCCTTATAGAAGGTTGTATTTGAGTATATAATTTTGGTTTGTTAACAGTGTTAAGAACTATTATATAATATGCAGTGCTATGTCTAGTCTTTTGCTTTAGAACTATTTAATAGCCGTATTACTAGTTGCCATTAAACTCATTCTTTGTGATAGCTTAAAATTTACTGGTCAAATTGAGTGTACCTTACCAAGTTCCTGAGTACTCTGTACTCTGATCACAAATTGCTTTGCTTTTCCTGGATTCCTCCATATGTTGAACTGCTGTTTTTAACCTTAGTCATTCCACTCTCTTCTGTTTTGAGCACCATGTTTGGTTCTCTGTACATAACTGCTGGTAATAACGTATCCTGACTGAGCTCAGTGGCTCAGCCTGTAACCCCAACTAACCCCGGCACTTGGAAGACTGAGGTGAGTGAATTGCCTGAGCCCACGGGTTCGAGACTAACCAGGGCAATTTGGCAAGACCTCATCTCTACAATAAATAGAAAGTTAGCTGGCCATGGTAGTGTGTGCCTGTAGTTCCAGTTCCTTGGAAGGCTGAGGCAGAAGGATCACTGGAGCCCCAGCAGGTCGATGCTGGGGTGGCTGTGAGTATACCCCTGCCCTTCAGCCTGGGCAACAGAATGAGACTCCAACTCAAAAAAAAAAGGAAAGGAAAGAAAAAGAAATGTATTCTTCACTACCCTCTTCTCCCCACTTTTGACAGGTTGACAGTAGACTTAGTTATAAAATATGTTTGGTGACATAAGAAAATGACGCTTTGTGTCAATTCTTAGGTGTGTTGTTTGGACTGGTGATGAGCGGGTCTTCTTTTATAATCCCACCACTCGCCTTTCTATGTGGGACCGACCTGATGATCTGATTGGAAGGGCAGATGTTGACAAAATTATTCAGGAGCCCCCTCATAAAAAAGGAATGGAAGAATTGAAAAAACTAAGTAAGTTGTAAATCAGTAACTTGTCCACTAATTTTACCACTCTTGTAACCCTTTGTACCCAGAGACATCTCGTGGATCACATATCTCCAATTCAACTGCACTTTTTTACAATATATTGAAAAACTAATGATTTCATATTAAATAGTATGGTGTTGGAGCCAATTATTTTATTGTAATGATATTTGGCTTATAGTGGAATTTTGACATTGAGGAACTTATTTATGACAAATCAAAATTTTATGTCTATTTTTCTAATGTGTGGTAATGTGTGGAAAACAGTCACTGACATGCAATGCTTGTTGATACATGTTGTGTAATTATAATTTGTCTGACATCTTCCACCTGGTGTTTTTCTGTTTGAGCAGACAGTGCAGTGTCATGTTCTTTCTCCTACATTAATAATATGCAATTTATTTTCCTGTCTGTTGTTCGAAGACGATGTGGAAGGATGAACTTGTGATTCCTGAAAACCACTTCTGAAAACCACGTCTTAACTGATCGATCAGAACCTTGACACATTTCAAGTGGGACATAGGTTTTTCATTGGTTTTGAGTGGAAAACTTCAAGGAAGCATACATTTTTGAAAAATTTGCGCTTATATAAGTTTGTCCTGTATAATCGCCAACTATCTCTTTTTGTCTCCTGAGAGGGGACATCCAAGTGCAAAGGGCTAATATTTTGATAGAAAACATAAGGGCCATTTAGAAACACTTGATTTTTCAAGGAATATAAGATTTTATGAAAGAAAAAATAGACTGCTATACTGATTTGAATGAAATAGAGATTCAAAAATATAAAGAGAATTTAGATAAGATTGTGCTTTGTAAAATATGTATGTTTTTAACTTACTGTCCTCAGGATTTTCAGTTAGTCTAAAAAATGTTGATATTGTTGCTGCTTGCTTGATGGTTGTTAATACCACTAAGACTGTCTTCAGAGACCCTACCAGCATCTTTTGAGATTAGTAATATGTTTTTTTGAGATTTAAAAAAAAGTACAGAATATTTTTAAAATATTTTTTTACTAAAATTTTGTAAAATACAGAAATGCAAAATTTTGTAAAAATTTGAAATCTTAGTCTTTTCATCTAGATGATAGTCTTTGTTCTTGAGGATACAGACACCTAAATCTTACTAAGTGAATATCATGTAGCCCTTTGCACTTGGAATTATCTCATGAATCACCTACCAGCAACCCGACCACACATTGTTATGAAATAGTGAAAAATCAATTACTTCATATTCAGTATTATAGCATTTTAACCAATTATTTTGTTGTAATGATATGAAACTTATCATGGAATTTTGGACATTGAGGAACTTATTTATGACAGAAAATTAAAAATTCTATATCTCATACTTTTCTAACATGGTAACATGTGAAACAGTCACCAGCAGGCATTGCAGGTTCATTGATACATGTTGTGCAATAGTATTTTGTTTGATGTCTTCCACCTGGCATTTTTCCTTTTGAGCAGACAGTGCAGTCTAATTTTTTTCCTCCCACATTAATATGTAATTTATTGTCCAATCTGTGCACCATGTGAAAGCACTTCACACATTCTCTTTCTATATAACACCAACTGATTTTTTAAAATGTATATCTCATATGTATTCTATCTTTTTATTTGCTTTTTGTGCAATTTTATTGGAAAACTTCAAGGAAACATGTTTTTGAAAAATTTGCGCTAGCATAAGTTTGTCCTGTATGATTGTAATTTTTTATTGGTAATTTGCCCTTATATTGATGATTGTGTTTTTATAGCACCTCAGCTCCCACGTAGTATAGAAACAAGATGAGTGGATCATTTAATACTTCTAATGAAACAAATCCTAGCATATCATTTATAGTGATTGAGAAGTTTTCGAGGATGTATATATGTGGTACTGATATGTTTGGCTTACAAGTAATTTCCAAATTAGTGCAACTTTGCACTAGTTGTACTAGGACCCCTTTTAGCAATATTTGTATTATAGGTGTGATAGTAATAATATTTCACAGCTATAGTATTGAATACTGAGAAAATATGCTATCTGCGTTTGTTTTTAATGATTCTTTAAAAATATCTGTTTCACTCGTTTGATAACTACATTAATATACATCATAAAAGGTGCTGTAATTCCTGAATCAAGAAAGTTTTATATATTTGTAAATAGAAAGTTTGGGCAAGCAACATTTCAAAATGAAATGAAAATTTAATATAAAGAGAAGATAAATAGAGGAAGTATAGGATTTTTTTGCTTTGTTTAATGTTTTATGAAGGAATGACAGCTGAGAGGTAAATGTTTTACACAAACAGGAATTTTTTAAATAACAGTTTGTGAAATATATGGGTATAACTATTCATAACTATTTCAAATGTTTTTGCCAGGGCACCCGACCCCGACAATGCTGTCCATCCAAAAGTGGCAGTTCTCTATGAGTGCAAGTGAGTGATTTAACTATAAATGGTAGTGAACTAACTATAAATACTATTAAAGCAAGTTCTACTAGTGATTAGCAGAAGGATTCATGCCTGAATATTTTAATTAAATTTTGTTTTACAGTTAAAGAAGAACAAGAATTAATGGAAGAAATTAATGAAGATGAGCCTGTTAAAGCAAAAAAACGGAAGTGAGTAATACATGTAGTTTGTAATTCAGGTAGATTTTACCTTTTAAAAGTTGATTAGGTAATAATCAGTTTGTGATTGGAAGGTACAGGTAATATGAATGTTGCTAGAAATAATTATTTTAGGCCTGATATTATCTAGCTTTGTTTTACAGTGTAGAAAATGTGTGCCTTCTGTTGCTAGATTTGTAAAAGATTTAGTTACTCAAATATGTATTATGAAGTCAGGTGACATTTTTGGAATTGATTAATTTTTTTGAAAAATCGAGTAGATGTGAATTTTATATAAGTTGTTTCCTTTCTAGTATAGATCCCAACAGATCCCATGCCAGAGATCTCATAAAAACAGATACAGACTTTTTATATTCTTGTGACTTGAGTCTCTGGTCATTACTCCCTGGTGAGGAGTGAACCCATGAGCTTAGAAAGTGCTCTGAGAGAGACTGCTAGAAGTAGGAGCATTACCTTGACCAGTTCTCTGAGTTTGGTAAAATGTAGATGTTGCTTATTATGGTGGGGAGGGTGGAAGGGTGGGGTACAGGGTGTGTGTGGGGGGCGGGGTGGAGAATGGGACCATTATTTAGCAGCAAAAAGAAAAGTTTGAAGACATTGTTAGGATCCGGTTAATCATAGTCCTTATCTGAAAAGGACAGATTGAATGCAGCCAAATTGTGGCGAGGAAATCAGTAAGACAATCCCTATAAAGGGTAGTTCTTTTTAAGAATTTGTTTATTGGAACAACATTAAATAAATTAAGATATTAAAGAATCACCTATAATCTGTCACTGTTACACAGCTGTTCTCATTTACACAATTGACTTTTTAGTTTTTGACCAAATGTATGAGTATTTTTAGTTATGACTTACTGATTTTGTGTTCTTTTAAAAAATTTTAGAATAAGACATTTGTTTTCTTAATTCTTATAAATGACTGTATTCATTCTGTTTGTGTACCATAATTTTGGATGTTCCTGCGATGTTAAACTTTTAGGTTGTTTTTAATTGTTTGTTCTTATAGACAACTCTGTAAGGTTTTTAACTGCTTTTATCAGGAGAATGTCAAAGAAGTCCTTTATGTGGATTGCCCGAGCTTCTCTATTTAGGTACAAAGCTAAAAGCCTATTTTTCCTGGCTTAGTTTTTCTTTTATTTCTTTTATTGAGATAGATAGTGATAGTTTGTATTGTGACATTTTCATTTAGTATAATTCTATTAAGGTTATTTGTTTTTATTAGTTATTATATTTCTTGGATGTCTTCTAACTCTTTAACTATCTAAATAGTTCTTAAATAAATTATTATAAGAGGGTGTATTGTTTGGCAAATTGCTTTTACCTGTTTGTTTTGTGCATATCTTAGGTCACAGACTATCTCGCTAAGTTCCTGCAGGTTACGGACTATGTCTTCTATTTCTTTTGTTTCATTCCCTAAGTTGCTAATTACCTCTCACATGGATTTGTGGGTTAGCCTTAGTTCCATAAATCTCCTGGGCTACCTATAGTTCCATGCTTTTAAATTTCCAGACATTCTGTTTTCCTAATTCCCTTAAGTTTGTTTAGGGAATATGAACCAATTTTATTAATATACTTAGCAAATCCTTTAAGAAGGAGACTCTGCTGAAATACACCCCAGGTATTATTGAAATACTTGTTTTTTGAATTATTCACATGGATGGACCTTTTCCATAGTACATTATGTTTGAGAGGTGACTTGATTTCATGCTTACAATCTCACTTGAGTACCACACAGCAACAGGGTTGCCCTTATCCCTGAGGCACATTTTTGGAGGAACAAGTAGTAGTTTAGTCATTGATGAGCAGTTCTATTTCATCTAACTACTCCTGGGCCCTTGTTGCTCTCTGGGACCTGTCCTTCAACTTAAATCTCAACTTATCACCCAGAAAGTGAGTAATAAAAATGTCAGGTAGGTAAGGTATATGTCTCACATATTCACTTGGCAAAGATTGCAGATATTTCAGTTTTATTTTCAAAATAAATGTTTGAGATTACTAAAATACCACTTAATACCAATTTTTTATGAGATTTTGAGCAATATTTTATGTATTTATAACTTAAAACATTTTAGAAAGTACTTTTTTCTATATTATTTCAGGAACTAAAAAAATTATATTCTGTGTTGTTTGATTCCAACACATAGAATTTTACTGCAGTGTTAGATGCCATTTTTTTTTTAAAACTATGGTAGTTAAACTTTTGTGTGTTATAGTGTCAGGGAAGACAGCACATTAAAGGTATATTTTTTTCCCAACATGTAGCCATTGTAACATCATTAGAAGCTCATTTTAAGTTTATTATTATAATGAAAGTTGCTTATCCCTTAGAGTTAATTTGAAACCCTCAATATAATGTTTTTGCCAAAAATATGCTGCTCAGTAGTGAGTCTTGAAAATTCCATTGATTTTAAGATTTAGTAAGATCTATTATTAATATTTTGTCCATTGATACCTTATATTTTATTTTTCATAGGAGAGATGATAATAAAGACATTGATTCAGAGAAAGAGGCTGCCATGGAAGCTGAAATTAAAGCTGCCCGAGAAAGGGCCATTGTCCCTCTGGAGGCTCGAATGAAGCAGTTCAAGGACATGCTGCTAGAGAGAGGGGTCAGAAAACAATCTTTGGGGGAGATATTTCTGTTTTGTATAAGTAATATAAATATGTCTTGCTAAAAGGTCACGTCTAAGGTTAGTGCTCATGTTGTAGGGGGGATAAGGGAGCCCTATCAAATTACTGTGCTTTTTTTTGAAACAGACATTTTCTTGGCTAATCATATCAAGTTTAACTAAATGCCATTTTACTGTCCTTTTAAGTACAAATAACATTTAACATTTATTGGTCATTAAATTTTGGTGAGTAATATAAGACGAGTATTAACATAACAGAATGGCGGACTGCTTGGGATAGGTAAAGTATATATTCTTCCTTTAATATCTTCAGAATGGCTTTTGGTTAAAGGAGAACTGATACTTTTCATGAGATTACTGTTAGAAAACCTTTTGGTTATATTCACAGATTCATTTGAATAAGTAAAAATGTTCATTTTTAAATCACATTCACAAGATTGGAGCAAGCATGGGAAATCAAAATGCAAATCTTCAAGGCTTTTCTGATGTACTGATTTTTAAAATGTCACACAGTAGTGGTTATTTTAATGAGTAATTAAGTGTGTGTTATTTCTATATAATACAGAAATGTTCAGAGCCAATTAGTGTGGAAACTTGCTATTGCTAGCTTCCCACTGCTTGTCATTTATTAGTGATGGAAACTTCATTGTGATTTTTATGTCTTCTTTATAAACAGATACCCTGTAGATTTCAAGAAAAATTATGACCTTTATTTTTTAGAGCAAACTTAATTATGAGGCAATACATTTTTATTTTAAAGGTGTCTGCTTTTTCAACATGGGAGAAGGAGTTGCACAAGATAGTTTTTGATCCTCGATACTTACTTCTCAATCCTAAAGAAAGAAAACAGGTAAAAGGAAAATGACATTATTTAAAAGATGTATAGCTCTTGCTAGCATAATTTTTTAAATCATAAGGAATAAAGTACCGTCTTTTTTTTTTGTAACACAGAACTTCAAGAACATAGTCTGGCATCTTAGAACACAATCATCTGTGTCTGTTGTGGATGTTTCTGTTTCAGAAATACTTGGATATTTTTACCTTTATGAACATGACTCTTTTTGTTTTACCAATTATTATATTATATTATATTACATTGTATTATATTATATAGATGTGGGGTACAAGTGAGGATTAACTACATAGGTAGATTGCTTGCAGGTGAAGTTTGAGCTTCCAACTGGCCCTCCTTTCCCTGGTAGTGGACCTGGTACCCTTTGTGTTGTCATGTGCTCCATACCTTTCTCCCTATCTCCCTCCCCTAGCAGTGCCCAGCGACTGCTGCTCTCTCCCTTGTATTCATATGATTATTGTTCAGGGCCCACTTATGAGTGAGGATATGCGGTATTCAGTTCTTGGTTTCTGTGATAGGTTACTTAGTATGATGGTCTCCAACTCCATTCAGTTTGCTTCATAGTTCATAATTTTTTGTTCTTTTTTTTTTTTTTGAGTTGGAGTCTCACTCAGTCGCCCAGACTGGAGTGCAGTGGCTGCTCCCGGCCACCGCAGCCTCGACCTGCTGGGCTCCAGTGATCCTTCCTTCTCAGCCTTCCAAGTAGCTGGAACTATAGACACGTGCTACCACGCCCGGCTAATTTTTTAAAATTTATTTATTGTTGTTCTTTATGGCTGCATAATACTCCATCGTGTATGTTATATGTGCCACACGTATTCTTTATCCAGTCCACTTTCGATCGGCAGTAGGGTTGGTTCCATGGTTTTGCTATTGTGAATAGTACAGTAATAAAAATGTGTACAGGTGTCTTTTTTATAGACCGATTTATGTTCCTCCGGGTATATTCCCAAGTTGCTGGATCGTATAGAAGGTCAGTTTTTAGTTCTTTTAGGAATTGCCACATGGTTTTCCATGGAGGTTGAACTAGTTTGCACTCCCACCAACATTGAAGTGTTCCCTTTTTCCCGCACCCATGCCAGCATCTGTTGTTTTTTGAGTTATTAGTAATAGCCATCCTTACTGGAGTTAGTTCGTATCTCTTGTAGTTTTGATTTGCATTTCTCTGATGATTAGTGAGGCTGAGCATTTTTTCATGTGTCTGTTGGCTGCTTGTATGTCCTGTTTTGAGAAGTATCTGTTTATGTTCTTTGCACACTTTTTAATGGGGTTGTTTGCTTTTTTTCCTTTCACTTTGTTTGAGTTCCTTGTGGATCCTAGTTGCTAGGCTTTTGTCAGATGTATAATTCGCAAATATTTTCTATTCTGTGGGTTGCCTCTTTACTAATGGTTTCTTTTGCGCTGCAGAAGCTTTTTTGGTGAGGTCCCGCTTATCTATCCTAGCTTTTATGGTATTTGCTCTTGGGGACTTGGTCAAGAATTCGTTGCCTGCTCTGATGTATATAAGGATGTTTCTGTGTTTTCTTCTAGGATTCTTATAGTTTGAGGTTTAGTATTCAGGTCCTTGATCGGTTTTTATTTGATTTTTGTATATGGTGATAGGTAGGGGTCCAGTTTCATTCTTCTGCATGTGGTTAGCCAGTTTTCCCAGCACCATTTTCTAAGTATGTTCTTCTTTCCCCAGTGATTGTTATTAATGACTTTGTCGAGGATCAGTTGGTTGAGAGACTGTGTTTTTGTTTCTGGATTCTCTGTCCTGTTTCATTGGTCTATGTGTCTATTCTTGTACCAGTATTGTTTTAGTTAGTGTAGCCTTGTAATAAAGTTTAAAGTCTAGAAATGTGATACCTCCCACTTTTGTCCTTTTGCTGAGGATTGTTTTGGCTTTTCATGGTCTTTTCTGTTTCCATATGAATTTCTGTATTGCTGTTTTCAGGTCTGAGAAAAATGATGTTGGTAATTTGATGAGTATTATATTGAATCTGGAGACTATCTTGGGTAGGATGGACTCTTGACGTTATTGATTCTTCCAATCCATGAACAAGGAATGTTTTTCCATTTTTTGGTGTCATCTTTGATTTCTTTGAGCTGTGTTTTCTAGTTCTCGATGTAAAGGTCTTTGACTTCTCTGGTTAGGTGGATGCCAAGGTATATCTTTTTGTGTGTGTGGCTATTGTGAATGGGATTGTGCTTTTTATTTGGTTATCTCTCTGCTTGTTGCTTACGTATAGTAATGCAACTGTCTTTTGCACATTGATTTTTGTACTCCGAAACTTTACCAAAGTCATTTATCAGTACGAGGAGGCTTTTGACAGACTCCCTTGGGTTTTCAAGGTGTGCAGAAGCATAGTCTGCAAAGAGGGATAGCTTAACTTCCTCTTTTCATATTTGGATACCCCTGATTTCCTTCTCTTGCCTGATTGCTCTGACTAGAACTTCCAGCACTATGTTGAACAGGAGGGGTAAGAGTGGGCATCCTTGTTCTCGTTCTCAGGGTAAATGTTTCCAACTCCTATTCATTGAGGAAAGTGTGGGCTGTGGGTTTATCATAGGTGGCTCTTATTATTTTGAGGAATGTTTCTCCTATGCCTAGGTGTTAAAGAGTTTTGATCAAGAAGTGATGCTGGATTTTGTTGAATGCTTTTTCTGTATCTAATGATATAATCATGTGGTTCTTGTTTTTAATTGTGTTAATGTTGGATTACGTGTATGGTCTTGCGGATGTTGAATCAACTCCGCGTCCCAGGAATGAAGCCCACCTGTTTTTGGTGGATAATGTTTAAGATGTACTGTAGGGTCGGGCGTGGTGGCTCAAGCCTGTAATCCCAGCACTTTGGGAGGTGCATGTGAGAGGATTGCCTAGCCCACAGGTTCAAGAACAGCCTTGAAGCAACTTGGCGAGACCTCAGCTCTACAATAAATCAAAAAATTAGCTGCGTGTGGTAGCAGTGCCTGTAGTTCCAGCAACTTGGAAGGCTGAGGCAGAAGGATTGTCTGGGCCCAGCAGGTTGACGCTGGGTTGGCCATGAGCGTGCCACTGCACTCCAGCCTGGGTGATAGAGTGAGACTCCAACTCAAAAAAAAAAAGAAAAAGGTCTATTGTAGGATCTGATTTGATTTGATTTGTTAGCCTCTTACTGAGAATTTTTGCGTCTATGTTCATTAAGGAAATTGGCCTATAATTATCTTTCTTTTTTGGGTCTTTTCCAGGTTTGGGTATCAGTGTGATGTTAAAAATGATTTGGGAAGAATTTCATCTTTTTTGACTGCCTTGAATACTTTTGATAAGATTGGGATCAGATCCTCATATGTCTTATATGCCAGCTGGGAAGCCATATGGTCCAGGGCTTTTTTTGGTGGGGAGATTTCTTATGACCGCGTCGATTTCCTGGATTGATATTGGTTTGTTTAGAGTTTCAGTTTCTTTGTGTTTCAGCCTTGGGAGGTTGTGTATGTGGAAAGTCCTCCATTTCCTTTATGTTTTCAAGTTTATTTGCATACAGATTTACATAGTAATCTCTGATAATCTTTAGAATTTCTTTGGGGTCAGTTGTGACTTTACCTTTTGCATTTCCAATTGTATTTATTTGGACTTTCTCTGTTTTTTAGTCAGTCTCATCAGGAGTCTATCAATCTTATTAATCCTTTCAAAGAACCAGCTTTTTGTCGTGTTAATTTTTTTTCTATGATATTTTTGTCTTCTGTGTCCTGCAGTTGTGATATTATCTTGGTGATCTGGATTCTTCTGCTGAAGTTAGGATTTTGATGATCTTGCCTTTCTAGCTCCCTTAGGTATGATCTTTCTTGTTACTTATGATCTTTCTCTTTTCTTGATGTGTGCATGCATTTTCCTCTTAACACTGCTTTCATGGAATTCTAGAGATTCTGATAAAATGTGTCTTTGTTTTCATTTACTTCTAGGAGTCTTTTTATTTCTTTCTTGATTTTTGTGTTGACCCAGAAGTCATTCAGTAGTATGTTGTTTAGTGTTCGTGTCTTTGTGTGCTTTGGGGGAGATCTTGTTGATGGTGATATTTATTTTCATTCCACTGTGATTTGAGAAGATGCATGGTATTTTTTCAATCTTTTGAAAATTGTTTATGTGTGTTTTATGTCCAAGAATGTGGTTGATCTTGGAGTAGAATGTATATTCTGTAGTTGTTGGGTGAGGTTATGTAGATGTCTGCTAAGTACATTTGGTCGAGTGTTGAGTTGAGGTTCTGGATCTCTGTATTGATATTTTGCCTCTGTCATGTTTCTAAAGCTGTTAGTGGGGTACTGACATTTCTAGCTATGATTGTGTGAGAGTCAGTGTCCTCTCTTACTTAGTGGTTATTTTATAAAATCTGATGCTCCTGTGTTGGGTGCACATATGTTTAGGATGAATATTTATTGCTGGTGGATTGAGCCTTTTATCATTATGTAGTGTCTTGCTGTGTCCTTTTTAACTTTTGAAGGTTTAAAGTTTGCTTTGCCTGATATCAGAATAGCTACCCCTGCTCTTTTCTGTTTCCCATTTGCTTGGAAAGGCCATTTTCCAGCCTTTAACTTTGAAACCATGGTTGTCCTTTGCAGTGAAATGAGTTTCCTGGAGGCAGCAGAATGTTGTATCATATTTCTTTATCCAGTCTGCCACTCTATGCCTCTTCAGTGGTGCATTCAGTTCATTCATGTTCAAATTAATTGTTGAAATGTGAAAGTTTATCCCTGTCATAGGACTTTTAGGGAGTTGCTCTTCTTCCTTTTTTACTTTTTTATTTTATTTTATATTTTACTTTTTTATCTTATGTATTTTCATTTTTGTGAATGATCTGTATACTCTGTTAACTCTGTGCTTGCCTATACCTTTGTGTTGAATATGACTTTTTTTTTCTGTGTTCAGCACCTTCTTAAGCATCTCCTAAAGGGCTGGTCTGGAGGTGACATACTCTCTTAGGCATTGGATGTCTGGGAAAGATTTTAATTCTTCATCACTGATGAAGCTTAGCATTTCTATA